TGAAAAAGTTTTCTAAGGAGTTTTGCAGAGATTCGGTCTCTGGAAAACCCTTCAGGAAACTTTCTCAAGATTTAAAAACGATGCCACTGGAAAGAGCATTGTCGAAAACCTATAAGAAACATGTTTCAAGTCGTTCAGGTTACTTTATCTTGAAATTCAAATTTTCAGCACGAAATTGTTTGTGTGAATCTCAAAAACTAAGAAATTTCTAGAATTCCAAATCGAGCTAACGAAACTAGATGAGTTATACACCATTCGCTGCAGTTTTTTCACGCTGATTCCGAATATGGTGTTATATTCGAAGGGAAGTGCATTTATAAGCGAAAAAAACATGAAATACCCCGAAAACCGTATGGGTTTTAGAAATTGAAAATTCGACTTAGATAAAAAGTCGCAAAAAGTCGCATGTACTGTAGATAGAGTGGGTGTTCGGAAACATACTGATATATTTTATTGTTATTTTCGAGGTCAGGAAAATCGTGGAACTCGACTATATTGAGATCGTGTCAGTTCGAATGAAACTGGGTATACTCCATTACCGATTCTTTAGTAAATTCGATGTGGAAATGTAGACATTTTTATATCAATAGATAGGTGAGGGCATGCTGATTCCGAATATATCCTTTTCAATCGTTGAAAGCAGCTGTGTGAAGAAAAAATTACATTTTTGTGCATACATGTCATGGTTTTCGATATTCGTATTGCAGTTTTCGTGTCCTTCTTTCTCCACTTAGGAGTGAACATCAAAATAGACATTCATACACCATTCGATAGAGAATTCAAAGGGCTACATTTTACACTATTTATATTTGGAAAAGAACAAATCGACTTTTTCGCCTAATGTCCGCTTGGATGCCCACTGTGTACGGCCATGCACGAAAAGTTGGATTTTTTCACCATCACTACGCATATAGTGATTAATTAATTTCATAATGAAGAACAAACATGTTTCTATATATCAATCGATAGAGAATCTAAAGTATTTTTAAAGCATGTATAGAAGTTATTTATTGAAGAATTCAATAAGAGAAAGTTCTAACATTTTCCACTTCAATTCTTTTACCAAATGGTGGCATTTCGCGTTGGCTTTCAGAATATGTATCGTTTATTGAGTAAATTTCATGCGAACTTCAGGAAAAGTACCTGGCAATAAGAACAACCCAGAGAAGTAGCAAATTTTTTTATCTTAAACTGAACTCTGTACTGCGCAAAATCAGTTTTTAGGCAAAATCAATATATTGTTCGTAATCAGCATGAAAAACTGTATCCTCAGATATGTCACCGAAACTTATAGAACAACAAGGACTTTCATCCACAATTTTGTCTATGCGTTTTTTGGGAAAGTTGTTGCCGAAGAAGAACAACGGAAGCTTTCTGACAGGAAATTATTTCAGACAAAAAATATACTATTCGGATCCATCTATTCGGCCTATTATCTCAAGCACTTTCCTCGAGGTTCGCATGAAGTTTACTCAATAAACGATGTATTCTGAAGCCGACAAGAAATGACACCATTTAATAAAAAGAATTGAAGTGAGAAATTTTAGAACTTTCGCTTACCGAATTCTTCAATAAATAAGTTTTGTACTTGTTCTGGTTCAAAAGTAAAGCTTAAACCAAAAACAAAACAATAAAAAAATACACACTGAAGATAACATCGAGTCATTGCACGACTTCAATTAGTGAGCAGAATGTCGAAAGCGAAGTTGATTTTGGCAGTTCGTCTGCAAAAATCAGGTTCGTGTGTTCGACGTCAATGTATCGCCTGATAGAAAAAAAGAAAAAACATTTAGTGCATAGGGGAGAATCGAACTTTCTGTCCTCGGTTCACCACAAAGCTCAAGACCAAGCTACGAAGTACTTACTAGTTAGACATTATAGACACACTAAGAAGTTACGCGGTATATTTCTGTTCGTGAGCAATATTCACTCGGAAAATAATGAGAAATTTCGGAAAGCAGTTTCGCTTATGAAAACATAGCTTCAGGTGTCGCCCTTTGACTTCTGAAAATAGCAAGTTTCTACCATTTGTCATCTTTGAGTTATTCGAAAAACAACCGAGTGCCTTGTGTTTTTGGCGTCACGGTAGTTTGTTGTCGTTTATATGGACGCAAAATTTCGAGTTGATTTTCGATTGAAATCCATATAATAAATAATCACATGAATATAATTAAGACCTTGTGCAATACACTTCCATGTAAATAATTATCTAAAACTGGAAGCGAAAGATGATTCTTCAGTACAAACGAGTAAGTTTTATTTTTTTATTGCGAAAGGATAATAAAGCATTGTGGTTCTGTGAGACTGAAAGTGTGATGGCTTTTCTTTAATTACCCTGCGTAGTGCTATTTCTGTCTCCGAAAAAGAGATCAGAAATAAATGGCATGTAGACGTTTGTAAAAATTATAAAGAAGATCTGTGAGATAGTTTGCCTTTATCGTTTTGTAATTTCCAAGTGCAAGAAAACTACGAAAAACGATTGAAAAGAGCTGTTTTATTATATCTGTGCGTAGATACAGCTATAGAAATGCATAGAGTAAGAAGCACCCACGTTACTACACAGAATTAGTACCCACAGTACTGCAGCTGCAACAGCATTCTACAGAACCAACACACACAGCAGTTTCAATCAAGTCCACATAGAAGCTTCTGTCACACTCATTTAAGAGTAAACTATTGTTATTGAAAATAATTTGCAGACCTTATTCTAACCGTGCGTATATCACATTAGAAGAAATAACATGGGAAAAAGAAAAGGAGAACATTCGAACAGAAATAAATATTTTGAGATAAAAGTAGCGAGTGAAAAGTAAAAAGATATCATACAGCTGTAATGACAAAGTCATTTTTACCCACGAGTTACAGAAAGAGAGTAAACTTTACTTTAGTGCCTTTCTGGTGTTATTCATTTTGCTTATACATAGACTAATATGAAAGATGTGAGTTAAATGCCTACTTAAGACGAACGTGAAAAATAAGTGCGTACTTGATGAAAAAGAAATGAAATGACTGATTTTAAGAACAGGCTATATTGCATTCTGTGAACCTAATATGAAAATGTGTATGTAAAGGGTGGGTTAGAGTTGCCAAAACGAATTGATAAATCACTATTTTGATTGTATTGCATGTTGTAAGAAGTTTCTTACTACTAGAGCTAGAAAGCCAAGTAAATATGTGTTTTATAGAGGAATTTTTGCTATACTTTTCTGCATAACACAAAACATCTACAACATCCAGTACAATCAAAATAGCAGTTTATCAATTGGTTTCAGTAATTCTGGCCCATCCTTTATGTCCAACTATAGTGCAGACTTTAGTCTGTCCGTTGATAAAAGAATAGTTGCTTTAGCAATTTTCTCTCGTTTCTTACGATTAAGAAAAGTTGTAGACATTTGAGAGTTTTAAAGTTAAAAAGAAGGTCACTTTATGACTGAAACGTTAACTATATATTTTTGTAAGAAATAATCAATGAAGAAATGTTTTAAAACACACACAGTAAATTAAATTTTATTAGAAGTTTCAGCTCCGTAGCTGTTATATTTACCGACGTTTTAATCTGAATTAGCTTCTATATTTTTATCTTGTACTTAGCGGCATCAGGAGTTTCGTTTTTTGCCAGCGGAATAGTTTTATTTTTTCCAAAACAAGATCTTGCGGCGAAAAAAGAATTTTTTTATCACTTTCCTCAGAAATCTTATGTAAGATTATACTGAATGCCTTCCATCCTACTCTGAGTTTCCAAGCGCGCCCATGGTTGTAAGATCACGTAAAGCAAACTTCGAGTGAAATTTATTTTTGACTTTATTATACATATTCGGATTCGGTTCAACCAGCTGATCCCGAATAACACCTTCCGAGCCTCCAAAACCATATCTTAATGGAGAAAACTGAAATATTCAGAAAAATATGGCTCGAACTTTTCATCTTGCAATACAACCTCAAAAGGTCAATTTCATCCTAGAGGACAGTGCTTTGTTTTCTTGAGATCCTCTCAGTAATTTGAGTTTTTTTCCATGAAGAAATGGTTTTCGGAGGCTCGGAAGGTATTATTCGTGATCAGCTGGTTGAGCTGAATCCGAACATGTATAATAAAGTCAAAAATGAATTTCACTCAAAGTCTGCTTTACGTGCACTCACTCTTTCTATTTAATAATATTAGGAAGTCCTCCTACATACATGAAAATGTAGTTGAACAGAGATATCTAAGATGTAGAAATGCCAAATATTTTATTATCTTTTGTTTACAGTGGTCACATAAACACCTAATTAAGTATCTATGATGGATAGTTTTTCAATTTGTCAATCAAGTCTTTTAATGTCAGCGTAGTCCAATTACCAGGTAACATTTCGTCGTTCACTCGACAGCACCTTTTACGAATATAATGTCTCCATCCTTGTCGTTTACTTCGACGGACAAAGAAACATGCAATATTTATATCCCTAGCACAATCAGGACATTGACGAGCAATTAGAGTTGCTGGATTAAGGACAGCTGACATTTTTAAGTGTTCGCTAATTATATGTTGATCAATACTTCCACGTATTTCATGCGAAGTATTGTAACAACAACGGTCCTCATCATTCGCTAGACGAACGCTTCCATAAATTTTACCAGTTAAATTTCCTGTTACACCATCATAGACTGCTCCATTGTCCGAGGTGTAATATTGTAGTTGCAGGCCATCTAACAAATCGCTGTAACCGTTTTTCTCCAGTTGTCTCAAAATGAATAAACGCCGGGTACTTGGGCTCCATAGTTTATCATTATAGAGGATGACCTGCATTCCATGCAAACAGCTAATATCCAGCAGACGATTTTTCAACGCAAAGTATGTTTCACTTACAGTCATGCCACTTGGTCCTGATGTTCCAGCAAAATACGAGTAAAATTTTGGTTGAGCATATTCGATAGGCCACGCCTTCGGCGACTGAACCCGAACTTTGAGCTCTCTATATGTTATTTCTGTCATTACACAAATACTATTGCAAGTTTTCTGACAAAGAAAACTGATGCTAATTGCAGATTTTATACTATAACAGAGAAAAACAAAAGTGGGAAAAAACCTAAAGAGAAAGCGAGAATGACTCATAACTGAATGGGAAAGAGGAGTATAATAGACAGATGCATCTAAGGCGGCGGGAGGGAAGGTTAACCAAATATAATCAATACTATCATTTGAATCAGCTACTCAAACCCTATAAAATCCTGTATTTTGTTTTTAAATCTGTCATGGATGTGAGTTTTTTTCTAGAGTTTTTCATACATGGGCTTTTATATGAATTAAAAACCCCTGTATTATTAATAAAAAAGAATGCTCGGGCCTATTTCTTTAATAACTTTTGAACCACCTCGAAGACTTTCGTTTTTCCGCATTGCATAAAAAAGATAACTACTCTCCGTTTCAAAATGGTTGGCACTCGGTTGCTTTTTGAATAACTTTTGATAGGAATGAGATAGAGACCTGCGATTTTCGCTGTTCAATAGCCAAGACTTGAGCAGAACTTTTCACAAGCG